GAAATTTATTTCAGTTATTTCATTTGGTGAGAACTCTACAAAAGAAGAGAGCGTTCAGATCGTTTCGTTTCAAACGGCAATTTAATACTGTCTTATCTTTTGCTCTCTCAGCGAAGCCTTGTAAATCGCAAAGTATTTTGAATAGGCTTACATGCAACTGCATCTCAACATCAACCAAAGATAATTTTCTTGAGGAACATATAACGTATCAAGTCTGTTTGAAATTAATGCAACTCAAGTAAAGGTTACTATAGTTTTGTACCCCATTCGTAATAAATGTTGCTATTCCAACACCTCATGACAAGCAATCCTCATTGGCATAACGGCAAAAACATTTCTTCCTTCAAGTAAACAATAAACAGTCTGTTCTTGTTCCATTTGTAATCGAAAAAAGTGATCAATTTTCGAATTTTAAGCTTATCGAGAGCCTTTGTCTATGCCTTTGTGATGAATCACTGACCTAATTATAGAATCCAACAGCAAACAGCCAATCAGAATGCCGCGTTCGTGGGCGAACGCGGAAAGTACAAAATACCGGGCCTTGCTTGCAGGCCCACTATCAAGTTCCCTTCAGCCTGCTCCCTTGGGCCTGCACGCGGGCTAGTCCAGTCCATGTTTTGTACTATGCCAAATTCCCATTGGTCGAAATCGATACGCCTGTCAATCAAATCTGATATGTAGTAATTATGCTATAAATAATTTCCAGAGTGAATGTTGATTTGATACAGGGTGTGTTAGCCTGCGTAGCAGGCTGTACCGCCTGCAGGTAGCAGGCGGTACCGCGTCAAAATAAAGGTAATCGAACTTCAGCGCGCTATTGTGTCTGAATTACTGCGTATGAACGAGATTTTTTTATCTTCGGAAAGATCATATAACAAACGTACTTGCAGGGAGGTGAGTCCGGGATTGGACGCACCGAGGGTGGCTGGAAGTTTCCCGAACTTACCGAGCGAAGCGAGGTGAGTGCGGGAAACTTCCAGCCACCCGAGGTGCGTCCAATCCCGGACTCACCGAACCTGCAAGTACGTTTGGTTTTTATCCCATACACCAAGCCATACACACATTTGTAGCTCTTCGCGATATATTCGTCGATGTTTTGTGAACATTTTCCCGGCCAAAAAAATCACTGGGCAAGAAAATACTTCTTTATCTACGTCTACATTACCTTTACTGCATTTTTTCTTTGGTTTTTCTTCAGTCTCAGTATGTTAGTCACCGAAAAAAGTTCTTTAAAGTTTAGGTTTATCGGCTAAATCTTGTCCGCCATATTTGTTATTGTTATTGCAACGTAAGCAGTTTAGCGGGTGAGTTCGGGCGAAAAGCAGGTGAGTTCGGCAAAAAGCAGGTGAGCTCGACGACAAGCTCACCTGCTCTAAACCAATCAGAAATCCGCTTTTAACACAGGTATGGGATAAGGCTTTTAGCTGTTGAATGATATGTTCTTCATGCCAAATGGATAAAAAATAGCCAAGTACGAGTCTGATAAAAAATGCTAGTCAGAATCGCATATTTTCACCGTTGTAATATGCGATTCTGACTAACATTTTTTATCGGACTCGTACTTGCTTATTTTTTCTCCACTAGGCATGAAAAACATGTCATTCAACAGCTAAAAGCCTGATCTTTTCGAATATGAAAAAAATGTTTATACGCCGAGTAATTCAGGTAGAATAGCGCCCGCGCTTCCCGCGCGGCATATTGTAAACACTGGACTGGACTATGGACTTTGGACTTTGGACTATGGACTTTGGACTTTCGATTTTTAAATTATATTTTTTAGATTTTCGTATAATTATATTAAAATCTAAACAGAGAACGACAAACGAAAATACTCAGTATCAGTTATATAGGTATACCAGCAGTGCAATTTCATACGGATATAGCCTGTAGGATAGCAGGATTATCCAATATTTTGGGATTTAATATTTAAATTTTATATAATATTTGTATTTATAGTATACATAGTACAGTTTATACTGCAGAACTTCTTCTTTATCATATAGATAATAGATTAATTGTCAGAAACAATTGTGACAAAAGTGTCTCGGCAAATACAAAATATTAACTATACAGAATATACAAGTAATTATTATTATTGCGCCTATTGAGTATTGTATTATGTATCTATTGACTGTTCATCTTTGCATAATAGTTTATACTAATACAGTAGTACTGTATTGTGTAATTGTTTACTCCGTTACACAGTAACGTTTTGTTAATGTTACTTATTCTAGTTAGCTATCCTTATCACTAAGACTAAGTGCTTCAGTTATTATTAATAAGTGTTAGTAGATGGACAGGAATATTCGAACGGAAATTTACGCACTTTTTAAGACCTACTCAGTTGTGTGTCAGAAGGCTTTTATCTATGTCTATGCGCTTCAGGTAGTCTAGCAACTATTTGCCACGTTTACTGCGGCCGGTATTTCCCGCGGGTGGCGGGTAGCGGGTGACGGGTAGCGGGTGACGGGTAGCGGGTGACGGGTGACGGGTAGCGGGTGACGGGTAGCGGGTGACGGGTAGCGGGTGACGGGTAGCGCGTGCGTAGCGGGTGGCGGTGGTTCTCGTGATTCACATGTTGAACACATAGAATAATTTACGCAACCTCGTTCCCAGGGCTTTCGTATGAGGGTGAGGCAGAGAGACGAGAAAGCCCTGGTCTGGGCCGGTCAATTTTGCATTCTGATTGGCTAACACCATATTGTCTAAAAATAGCAGAACTTGACAGTTGACAATAACAATTTCAACATATGTATTTTTATGATTCTTGTGTGTACGAGTGTATTTTGCAAAATAATCTTTCAAAGTAAGAAGTTTTCGGTTTTCCCGACTGCATGATTTAGCTACTTTCGGCTCGGCCGGTTACAAAACTGAAAATCTATGTTGACGTGAGCTGTGATGTTTCCTGAAAAAACAAGAAACGTCTACTTTATAGTCGGTAGACTACTGAGTAGTTTTCCTTGTACAGTATTTATAATGTAGTGCAGATGTCTGATGAAATACTACGCGTATTGCATTGTAGTAATATTTTAATTTACAATATTCCATACTGACATATAAAAACAAGACTAACAATTAAATGAAACTGCTCATTTAGGCCCTGTTTACCTAAATAGCTCTACGCCGTAGGCCGATGTAGTCTGTACAAAATTCGCTTGTCGCGACACCCAGTTTTACAGTTGCAAAATACCCGGAATTTTTGAAAATTGCGACTATACGATAAAATAAAACAAAGATTGTGAAAGGGATAAAATTTGTAGGCAAGCATTGGTGTCCGGTGATCGAAGCGAACCGTATATTCCTGTACATGCAGCGTAAACAGGTAATTAATACCCGAGGTTTTATATTTGTGTTTATTTATATCGAACTAAGTCAGACCTAAGAGCATAATTATTTAAACCAAATATTAAAGGCAATAGCCATGTTGTTAAAGACGAGAGAAACCAAATTTCGTGTGAATCACCACTTGGAGACGCCTAGCTAGATGCAGCTTGGAAATCGTGTTCAGATACAGTTGTGGCTTTGCCTGTCACTGTGGTTGAAAATCTCCAGAAATATCGGTAATTGCGCCAAACTTCGCTACACATAAATAATATCGATTTTAGCTGTTTATTTGTTTCGAAGACTTGTGTATAATTTCCAGTTAAGAATATCTCGCCACTCCTTGACGAGTAGCTGTCAAATATATCCATATTTTGGTAGACACGTGACCGGCCCAGACCAGGGCTTTCTCGTCTCTCCGCCTCGCCCTCATACGAAAGCCCTGGGAACGAGGTTGCGATAAATTATTCTATGTGTTCAACATATGAATTACGAGAACCACCGCCACACGCTACGCACGCGCTACCCGTCACCCGCTACCCGTTACCCGCCACCCGCGGAAAATACCTGCCGCTGTCTAGACCATGTATTATAATAGCCCGCAGGCCCCGCCCCGATTAGCAGATGTGAAATTTACAACTTCATACACAATGAAAATCATAAGCGTGTCGTATCTGTATATGTGATACAAATTCATATTGATTTACATAAACTTTAACTTTGATTTTCTCGGCTTAGACAACGTTTATTTTTGAAATTACTTCGCCAATGAACGCATAAGATGAGTCGTTTTTTAAGCCATGTCTCGCCTTCGGCTCGAGTTTGTATATCCGATACAACACGGCCGCACATATTGTAAATAGTACATACAGTAGGAAACGTTTGCAATAATTCCCGTGACTATGTTATTCAAAAACATTCCAATGCTTTAATGACACACAGGCTGACAGCTAAAAATGACCCATGCCCTAACTGCAAACACCTTAAATTTCGCGGATTCATGTAAAAGCCTCCCGTCGCAATGAAAATAATAA